TGACGTCCCTAGCCAGACTTAATTCCAAACAGGCCTTAGCCTTCCTCATTGCATCCCTGCATACTCTGACAATATTCCTATATTCGGCCCAAGTGGCCAGTCCCTTTTTCCACATGTTGTAAACTTCCTTCTCCCCTTTGAGTGTTTCCAGAAGCTCCTTGCTCATCCAAGCAGGCCTTCTGCCTCCTTTGCTCGATTTCTTCCTCATAGGGATGCATCAGTTTGGGGCTTGGAGGAAGAGGTGCTTGAATAGTGACCAGCTGGCTTGGGCCCCCCCTACCTTCTAGAGTCCTAGCCCATGGGATTCCTCCAAGTAGGTCTTTGAAGAGGCTGCTTTTGGCTCTCCTGAAGTCCAGGGTTGCAATCCTACTGATTGCCCTGCTTCTTCCACACAGGATCCTGAACTCCACCATCTTGTGGTCACTACAGCCAAGGCTGCCCCGAGCCTTCACATCCCTGACCAGTCCTTCTCTGTTTGTTAGTATGACATCCAGCAGCGCAGCTCTCCTTGTTGGTTCCTCCACCATCTGAGTCAAAAAGTTATCACCATCAGTGTTTTGCAGGAACCTCTTGGACTGTAGGTGCTTGGCTGTGTTACTTTTCCAGCAAATATCAGGGTGGTTGAAGTCCCCCATGAGAACCAGGGCCTGTGACTGGGAGGCTGCTTCCAGCCGTTTGTAGAAGGCTTCATCTACCTCCTCATCCTGACCAGCTGGCCTATAGTAAATGTTCAGCACAATGTCTCCCATCTTAACCTGCCCCGCAATTCTTACCCATAAGCTCTCAACTCGCTTGTCATTCCACCCTAGGCAGAGCTCAATACACTTCAGGTGCTCTCTCACATAAAGAGCAACTCCCCCACCTTGCCTAGTTGGCCTGTCTTTCCTAAAGAGTATCTAGCAGTCCATGACAGCATTCCAGTCACATGAGCTGTCCCACCATGTCTCAGCAAGCGATATGAAATCATGGCCCTGTGAGCGCACAAAGACCTCCAGTTCTTCCCGCTTATTCCCCATGCTGCGTGCACTGGTGTATAAGTGTTTCAGGGAGCTGAGTGTGTAGATTCCACGCTCGATGGCTGGTAGGACATTTGGTTCTCAAAAATACTAGTACGCTGCCCCATGAGTACTAAGCTACTACCCCCATGCAGCTCCCTGGCAGGCCCAAATACATCCCCACCTCCCTTCGAATCTAGTTTAAAGCTCTCTCAGCGAGTCCTGCTAACTCCTGTCCTAGAACACTCTTCCCCCTATAAGATAAGCTTTCTGCTTCTGTTGACAGCAGGCTGGTATCTTGAGGATCAATCCATGTCCAAAGAACCCAAATTCCAGGCACCTCGTTTGCTCTTATTCTCCTGCCATGCCACATTGGGAGGAGCTTGGCTCCATCTTTTGAGAAAGCTAGAGGAAGGCTGGTCTTCTGCTGTTGGGTCTTCCCAAAACCTTTCCTTTTCCAGGCTGAACAAGATCATTTTCCTGGGTTGAACGTTCCTCCAATGCTCTCCGCATGGAGCACTGCTCCAACCCCAGCCACCCTGGGAGCCATCAGCTGAACGCATTCCACTTCGTTGACGCCTTTCTCGCGCTGGGGCCCAAAACCAGATGCAGTGTTGGGTGTGGTTTAGCAAGTGCGGAGCAGAGTGTGGGAGAATCCTTTGGGGGCACGGCAGATCACTTTCAGAATGGTCAACTCAGAGCCCAAACAACAGATATCAGAAGGAACTGCTAGAGAAAGAGGAAAGAGAAAAATCAAAATTACAGAACATGTAAATCAGAACTGATTCCCACCATGCAAGTGGCAGTGTCCTTGATGGTCTAAGTTTTGATGGGAGAAGTTCCATTTAGTGTTAGGACAGTTTGCGCAGGGTTTTATTCAGTTGGGTCCTGAAAACCTTCAAGGATGGAGGCAGCACAACCCCTCTGGGCAACCTTCTTTTGCTTGGCAAGTGCTCCTGCTGCCTCCGTGCATGCTGGTGTAATAGAAACAAGCTGAGCTGTGAAAGAGAAATATATTATCTGAGAACAAACAGGGAAATACATGGAAAGGAGGCAATGAAGAATGAGTTCCATCAGGGAGGACAGAAGACAGGTCTAAGCGCTGCACTCTGGGGCTCTGCATCTTGTCCATAACTTGCAGGTGTGCTAAAAGAGGTATCTTCCCCAACACACATGCTGTCTTGCATCAGGGCTTCAAGTGACAGCGAGATTTGGTGGAGTTTGGTGCAGTTTCTTCCAATTGCCAGGTAACACTGGCAGCAAAATGGGTGTCCTTTCTGTAGTCTCTGCCTATATAGCCTTAGTCTCCAGGAAACAGATCTTGTTATAAATTTTCTGCTAAATTAAAGCCCATTTTATTTCAAAACAGATACTTTCATTTCAGGGAATTCCATGTAGTCGTCATCTGGGACTTTAAGGCAATTTTGCCCCCTGCTTTTTTTGTCATATTCTGTCTTATTAGAGCTTTGAAGGGCAAAAAATTTTCATGGAGATGAAAAGAATCTGTACCTGCCTAATGTGATGTGGGAAGCGTGAATGAATTTTTCAGAGGTGTGCTGTGGATCTAAACTCTTTTTGGATGGCCATGGCATTGGGAAACGTCTCCTGCTCATTTTCCCTAAGGTCCTTTTTTTTTTCCTTTTGGGCTGAGAGAAAAATTAATAAAGAAAAATGAATGAATGAACCATGCTGAAAATGCTGTGTTATATTGCCTAGCAATCTGTTGCTCAGAAAGGCAGTTCATAGAGCCTCAGAGCAGGGCGGCATGATGAATTTTGCCCCGATACAGATGAAACCTGTGTGGGATTGTCAGTCTCCATCCAGTTTTCCAAACTTTTGTCATGGAGGATTGCTTTGCTGGGGAAGAGAGGGAACATGCCTTCTTCCTCAACGCATGTCTTTGCTGATGACTATGACAAGGGCTTTCCAGCTGAAACGTCCATTGCTGAGGCCCCAGGTCACCTCTGCAGCAGAAAGAAAAGACCAACCAGAGCACTAGGCCTCTGAACACCCATCTCCTCCATGAGGAGAACTAGAGGTGGGGATGGACCGACTTAGGTGGGACCCAGCTGGCTCCAGGAAAGTGGGGCGAGAGCTGGGTTCACTTTCAATAAGGACTGAAAAGGGAAGGGTTGGGACATGGAGAAGGATGGAGAAGAGGACGAGAGGGGAGTATGATTTGGTGGGGAGAGGATTGGGCATCACAGGAGTTTGGAGGTGGCAATAGGGGCAACGAGGAGAGGCATGGGGCTGGAGCAGTTGTGGTGATCTCCTGTGCCACTTGCTTTTTAATTGAAATTGGCTTTCAAGATTTGGCACAGAGATGCTCTGCTGCGTCAGCTCCACAACCGCAGCACCGGGGGGAGCAGGGTGCCACGCAGCAGGGCCAGTTACTTCACCAACAAGCGGAGGGGTCTCCAATCTGCCTCTTGCTGTTTCCCCATTCTCCATCCATGTAATGGGGAGGATGCTGCTGACTTCCCTCTCCAAGCCTGTACTAGAGCTATGGGTGAAACGTAGCAGAGAAAGGATAGACCGCTGTCGTTTGGAAACAACTTCCTAATTCATGCTGCTGCAGCTTGAATTCCAAACCCCATCCTGTGATGTACTCTTGAACTGCTCCACGGCTCTTAAGTCTCCTCCAAATAAATGCACTGCAAGAAAAGAGATACAAAACTGCGCCAAATGCAGCTGTGTCTATCAGGTCATAGACACTGAGGGGTTAAAAACTGTGTATTCCTCTCTCTTTGCCTGCACCTGAAGTAGCAGGGGAACTGCAGAGCTCCCTGCTGGGATTTATCTGTCAGACAGACAAACATCCCCTGGTCCCTGCAGTGCAGAGTCCCTGCATGGAGACCTGCAGAGGGCAGGGGAGTATTTAGGGTTGGGGCAGCAATTTGTTGCTCTGCAATGAGGCTCTTTATGCCATCACTCCTCCTGGGCAGCAGCAGCAAGCCTTGAACAGCCCCCAGTTAGTGGAGCTTGCAGGCACGCTCCAGTCTCTCACACAGCCTTTGCCTGGACATTGTGTTCCCTCTCCTGCTGTGCTCCACGGAAGGATGAAGTTTTAGGTAAAGCAGCAGCAACAGAGGCAGCTGGCAGGAAGGAGGTGGAATGAAGAAAGAAAAACATCAGGAATTTCAATTCCTAGGATGTTTACAGCCACATGGATAAAAACCCCAGGTGACCCCAAGCCATACATGTCTGTAAGGTTTCAAGTGCAGCCTTGACAGCCCAGCTCCAGCTGGGGACTGGTGGCCGTGCTGGGCTGGGCTGCGGTGGTCACGCTGTGAAATCTCGCTCTGAATGCAGCAGGAGCACAGCCCGCTGCTGCAGCCGGCTCAGCTAGCACCGGACCCAAGGGGAGGAAAAGCCCAGCTCTCCTCTGGCAAGCTGCTGTTGCCTCCTCCCTCGGCTCCCTGCAGCTCTCCAGCACAAGCGCCCTGGACCTGGAAAGGGTTCCAAAGGGTCTCATCAGGTCAGGAACATTGGCCTAATCTGTGCTGCAGGGCTCTTACTGGGATCCTCTTTGCCAGGTATTGAGGAAAAAACAAGAGCTGCTCCATGTGCAGGGGCTGGGAGACCTTCAGCCTTCTTTGGGGGGAGAAATGACATTACTGGAGCCCTGCCTTTGTAGGGGAAGGAGTCGTCAAATCCTGTGGGGCTGGCTCAGTGTTTCGCCCTGAAATTGGATGTTTCTTCACTGAAGCAAACACTGGTGCCTCTCTCTACTCTGGCAAGCTGCACAGTGCTGGTAAAAGCTTCTGTAGAGCGGTAGGGTTGGGGCTGATGATCTCCTGTCCAGGACACTTGCTTCAAAAGCGCTCTCTGGAAACTGTGAAGGAGCTGTCACAGGGCTGGCCAGCCGCGAAGGGGAATTGGAGCTTCTAGGCCATACCTCATGCCAGGCTCCCTTTGCCATGGACCAGATCAGGTGGAGGGGGTTTGATGCTTTTCTATAGGACACAAGAGCCCTCACTGTAGGCAAGAGACAAGAAGGGTTTCATGTCTCTGAACTCTACTGCCTTCTCCCACCCTCCGTATTTCCTCCTCATTGGCATCCCTGGGCTGGAGAAGGAGCAGTTCTGGATTGCCTTCCCCTTCTCTATCGTGTATGCCATTGCCATGCTGGGGAACATCACCCTCCTCCTTGTTGTAAAGGCAGAGCAGAGCCTACACGAGCCCATGTACCTCTTCCTGGCCATGCTGGCCTTCACTGACCTCGTCCTGTCAACATCCACGCTACCCAAAATGCTTGGCGTCTTCTGGCTGGGCTCAAAGGAGATTGCCTTTCTCTCCTGCCTTGCCCAGATGTTTTTCATCCATACCTTCTCGACGGTGGAGTCGGGCGTGCTCATGGCCATGGCCTTGGATCGATACATCGCTATTTGCCACCCGCTGCGGTACTCCAGCATCCTCTCTGTGCCCGTGGTGGTGGCCCTTGGGAGCCTGGTACTGGTGCGTGGGGTCCTCATGGTGAGTCCTGTCTGCTTCCTCATCTGCAGGATGACCTTCTGCCAGCATCACGTCATCTCCCACTCCTACTGCGAGCACATGGCAGTGGTGAAGCTGGCTTGTGGGGAAACCAGAGCCAGTTACGTTTATGGCCTCTTTGTGGCTTTCACAGTGTTAGGATGTGACGTGATCCTGATCTCTGTGTCCTACACCATGATCCTGCGGGTGGTAAGGAGCTTGTCATCCACAGAGGCACGACATAAAGCCTTCAACACTTGCGCATCCCATGTCTGTGTCACCCTTGTCTTTTATGCCCCTGCCATCTTCACGTTCCTTGCCCATCGGTTTGGGCAGAACATCCCTCCCCACGTCCATATACTGGTGGCCAATCTCTACCTGCTGCTGCCCCCCATGTTAAACCCTGTTGTTTATGGGGTGAGAATCAAGAAGCTCAGGGACACGGTGGTCCTCCTCTTCCAGCGAAAAGGAGCCTGACCCATGTGGATGTGCTTCAAACTGTGCTCTTAATTTCCTGGTGATGATGGTAAATTTAATGAGAATTAACGCTGTAACTATTTTGTTGTTGAGGGAGAAACCTTTCCTAAGTGCCTGCGGTTCAAGCAGTGCATTCGTGCAATAATCACTAGCTTGCCTCTTCCATTATCACTGTCCAGGAGCTTTCTTCTATGGTGTGATGAAACTTGGCCTAAAGACATTCAGTCTGGCTTTTGCACCCCTGGGAGATGGAGAGTTCACCTGTCCCAGAAGTTAAACTCCTCACTGTTAGAATTCTTTTACTATTAAAAAAAAAAGATTCTCTCACAATTAAAGTGGTCCCTGGACTGTGTGATGGCATTGAAAAGATGCGCAGAGGTGGCACTTAGGGACTTTGTTTAGTGGTGGGCTTGGCAGTGTCAGGTTTATGGTTGGACTCATTGAACTTAAAGGTCTTTTCCAAACTAAATGCTTCTGTGATTCTATGGGAAGATGCTCAGGCATGAATGGGGACTGTTCTTGTAGGGAAGGAAATGCATAGAATTCAATTTTAAACATCAAACATATTTTTTTCAAATAAAACAATATAAGTCAACTCTTCCAATATACTGTCAAACACGTTTTGCAAAATCACTGCTCTATACCTGACAAAGGTAGGCGGCAAAATGAGCTGAAGGTCAGACAACACAAACTCAAGCTCCAAAAGTCAAGCTCTAGTTTGAGTGCAAACTGAAGAGCAGTAATGGATAGAGAGGAGATCTCGGACCTGGCCTGGCGTCTTTCAGAGCTCTCCATCTTCCTGAGCAGCCCTGAGTGTTGTGAGCACCCACGAGGAGCCCCTGGGCTGTGCAGTCTCTCCGAGAGCTGTGTAACAGCAGGGAAGCAGGAGCGGGAGCCCCAGGAACCGAACATGCACTTCTGCTGAAGCAAAGCAGATGTTAGGCTGCAGACAAAACGGGCAATGAATATTTTTTTGGCACCATTTTGGTAGAATACTAAAATTTCCACTCCATTCACCCTTTTTCTTCAGATAAAGCAGAAGTAGCTTTTCACAGAGCACAGGCGGGAGGCAGGGAAAGGCACAGACGGAGAGATACGGCTGCAGCTGCTCAAAGAGCCTCTCTCAGAGCACCCACTTCATAAGGCAGGGCTGCACCATTTCTGGTGGATGGATGCTCACCCACCACCGCTCTGGTGAGGTAGGAGCCCCATTTTTCTTCAGGCTCCACAAAAAATGCTGCTCTTTTCATTTTCCTTAAGAACGTGGGAGCTGCCCTCATAACCGATATCCACACCTTCCACCACGCTGCTTCCTCCAGTGGCAATGGGAGAGGTCTCCTAAGAGATGCCTTTTTGAAGGAAGAAGTGGCAGCAGGGCAGCACTATCACAGCTGTCAACCTAGTGAACAGCTCTCTGTGTCCTGACATAGAGAATCCCACCATTCAACCATCAGCTAGGTACGGTGCCCCTCCATCTCCATCAGCTTTCTCACATTTTTAGAGGTAAGAATGGTTTAATCAATAAGATAAAGTAAAAAGAGTAAGAAGAAATTTAATAATAACAACAACAGTAATAATAATAATATATAGTAATAATAATAACAGTAGTAGTAATGAAAAGGAATAAAAAACAAGCGAGAGAAATAAGACCTAAGAGAAGACAGTGCGATTGCTCACCACCTGCTGACTGATGATCCATCAATGATCAGCCCCTCCCGTCCAGTTCCCCACAGTTTTTGTACTGACCATGACGTTCTGTGGTACGGACTATCCCTTAGGTAGGCTGGGTCAGCCATCCTGGTCGTGCTCCCTCCTAGCTCCTTATGCACCAGAGCACGGGAAACTGAAAAATCCTTAACTTAGGACCAGCACTACTTAGCAACCACTAAAACATCCGTGTGTTCTCAGCATTGCTCTCACACTGAAGCCAAAACACAGCGCTGTACCAGGTACTCGGAAGAAAATGAACTCTATCCCAGACACAACCAGGGCAAGGGGTCATCAGGCTGGGGCTTGCAGTGAGAAGCATCAGCCTCTTGCTCCCTCTGCCCGTCCCTCTGAGGAAGCTGTGGTTCTGCAGGTCCCAAGTGCGGGCTCACTCCCCCTGTTTGCACCCCAGCTTACTCAATCTGCCCTGTGCAGAGAGCAAGGCGAATAGCTTGTGTGGCTTATTTGTTGTCCTGGCCACCTTTGGGCTCGACTTGCTGTCTATCATCTGTCCTATGTCATGATCGCTAAGACTGTGCTGAGTATCACACCCAGGGGAGAGCGTCTCAAGGCCCTGGACACCTGCATCTCTCCTATCTCTGCTGGTTTCATTTCCGAGATCTTATTCTGAAGTCCGGCAGACTGCTGTGGCAGGATTCGCCCTTGCAGTAGCCTGGCTGACTCTGCAAGAGCCTTACCCACGTGTTTCCCCATCTGCTTAGTGACTTGGTTCTTTATCACAGCCTCTACTGTCCCACCAGTGATGGGAATCAAGCCCACTGCTCAACAGGTCTCAGGAAGCCCATGGAGCCCCTTTTGCAGGTGGAGTTGAAGGGATGATCCGGCCTGCAGCACCACGACCACCTGCTCCTGGGAGTTAGTGATATTTAACTGATATCTCTTTGATGTAACGTCTCCTCCACATTTACTTGGAACTCATCAAGACCCTCTAATCCCTTTGCTATGAAGACAGTGTCACACATAGAAATCCAACACAAGGAATTCACTGAGCTTCTCTGCTGTGGCCTTATCACCCCTGCGGATGCTCCTCACCCTTGGGCACCAAGCGGTCCTCCTGTTGGCTAGCTGGATTCCTGCTTTTGATGCATTTAAAGAGCACCAAAATTTAAATTTAAATTCTGCTGACAGTTAGGGCATCCTTTGCAAGGGGCTCTTCCCATTAATTTTTCTCTCTCTTCAACTCCTGCTTCTGTTCAACCTGTCACTTTTCACGGGCATTTCATGTAGGCGAGCTTCCCACTTCTCAATAACTCCTGGGCTGCTGGCCATGACCAGGCCAGTCTTTGACACAGGAGCCTGAGAAGGCCTTTGCAAATGGGCTTGCTTTGCATGCTCTGGATGACGGGGTTCAACAAAGACGGGGCAAAAAGGTAGACGGTGGTGATAGGCGGGTGGCTGAAGGGTGCAGCATGATTCCCGTGCTCGTGTACAAGGGACAGGCTGACCATGGGGCCGTAGAAGATGAAGAGAGCGCAGAAGTGAGGGACACAAGCGCTGAGGGCTTTGCTCTGCTCCTCTCGGGAGGTGGTGCCCACCACAGCCTGAATGACCATGGGGAAGGACAAGGTGATGAGCACAGAGTCTACGATCACGAACAGCACCAGGGTTAGGCTGTAGAGGTTGTTCAGGGTGGAGTCTGTGCACACCAGCCGTATCTTGTCCTGGTGCAGGCAGTAGGAGTGGGACAGCCTGTGGGACCTGCAGAGCCGCAGTTGGGTGAGCAGGCAGAGGAGCGGGATCAGCATCAGAGAGCAGCAGAACATCCCCAGCCCAACCTTTGCAACCCTGGCACTGGTGAGGATGGAGGAGTATCTCAGAGGGTGATTTCAGCAGCAATTCAAAGGTCATCTGGATTAGATTTCGCAGGGCAATGACAACAAACAGTCTGGTGTCTAGGTGTGAAGATTTAATTTCTTTTCTCCTCCTTGAAGATGTGCCAGAGCAGAGATCTGCCTTTCCCTGTGCTGGTTCAGTCCTTCTTCCTGCTTTATTAACCCCCAGCTCCTCACCTCTGAAGTCAATAATAACATCATTTATTGCACCAGGGTATATATGTCCCAGGACATTGCTAGAGCCTCTTGTCTCAGACTCTGTAAGCAACATCGCTGTCCTTCCCTGGCACCCAGGCCTTGGTGTCTGCTTCCATGTGGGTCCGTCTCCATCTCTCTACACCCGATTTGCAGCCTCTCCCCTCCATCCCCAGCCTTTCCTGCACCTCCACTCTCAGTCCCTCATGCCCACAGCCTCACCCCAGGCACTTCCATGCAGGACACTGCAGGAGGACAATGCTCCCTCTCACCTTCCTTGCTCCTCTGGGCAGCCCTCCCCTTGCCCATGGGCTGTTGCAGCAGATGACAGAGGCCTCTTTCCCCTCCCAGGCTGTGCCTCCAGCCTTTTTGACTGTCCTTGCTTGCAGCTACCCGCCTGCCCAACCGGCTCCCCCTCCTTCGCTTGCTGCCTGTTCAGATTTTCACCTTTCAGCCTGTGTGGGAGGCCCTGTCTGGAGCTCTGCAAACCACCGCACCCCACCTGGCTGCTGAGCTTGGACCACGCCTTGGCTTTTGGCATCTACCCTCCTGCCTGTCCTCCACCTGCATGGCACCCTCTGGTATCGCTTAACCAGCCCTTCATGGAAGGGAAAGGGGACAGGGCCGTGGTTTTCTCCCAGTTCTTTGTCTGTGTAGCACCCAGCTCCGTAGGACTGTGCTCCTTGACAAGTGTCCCCACCAGCTACAGAAACAGCAGCAATTACCAACATTTCTCTCTCACACACTCGCACACCCGAGGGGACACGGCCACTCCTGCAAGTCTAAATTTGGTAAGGTATTGGCAGGTTTATAACGTTATCCTTCCCCTGCACTTTGGAGATTATTTGCTCTTCTAGTCGTTGTTGCCATCGCCATAGTTCCTTCTGATAGACCACCAAGCTGCTCAAAGTGACAGGCATTCAGGTGACACGTGTCTTAGTGATATACACAGCAACTACAATTCTTAGCAGGAACGTTGTTATTACAGCTAACGGTTACGGGCAAAATGAAGCAACGTGTACGCAAACCCAGCTCGCATTTCTTCTACAGAACTGTCAAACAAGGGCTCCCAATCCACAGCCCACAGATACCTCAGGGAAATACAGTGCTATGTGAAATAAAAATCATAAAAGAAAAGCTGCCTGAGCTTTGAACATAGGGCTGGTACACTTTGGGGTTGTAAGTGAAAAAAAAAAAAAAAGTTATAAAATGCTCCTCTAACCTACGATAATTATTTCCCTGCCTTGTCTGCTGCTCTTTTCAGGGGCTGCAGAGGCTGATGTTGAAGAATTTAAACTTTTCCAGCCCTCAGCACTCAAGGAATTCACACTCCATCTGTCTATGTAAACAGGGACCATGACATTGTTTAATTGGAGGGCATGTGGCTAAATTCATTGGTGTGCTATGAAAAATGGAATGAATCTATTTCCAACCGCCCCACTTCTGAGACAAAGCTCCAGTCTGTGCATCCACTCTTTACTTTGCCAGCTAGTTAGCAGACAGCTTTCCAGGGTACTCTACTTACCTTCAGCATGAAAATATAGATTTAGGTGTTTGAATCTGGGTGTGCAGACTTGAATGCGTACCTCATCTTCATCATATGTTAATATTCTTTGGATGTCCCACAAAAATAAAACATTGCTTTGTTCACTCTGTGTCATCAACTGTGCTGGCCTGGGTAAATACTCATTAAATGGGAAAAGTCCCGTCCTCCACCCATGGGGCTGCCCTGGAGGCTGGGCATCCTGCCCGCCCCCCCAGTGCCCCTCCATGAAGCTCTTCACCTTGATCGCTCCACAGTGATGCTGAGGAAGGAATATTCCTTGCCTGCTGCTCCCATCCTCCTTTTATTTTTGTCCTTATCGAGACAGTAAGCGATGTGTCTGCACACAGGGAAAGGATGAATTTCCACAGCCCAGCTGGGTGCTGTGCCATGGGGAAGGAGTGGGCGCTCTGGCTCCGGTGGATGCTCAGCTTCTGCCCAGAAGGATGAACACGGAGCCTGCAGACAGAGCGCAATCCTTGCTCGGTCATGCTTCACAGCACCATCTGTCAGGCTCTCAGTGAGTAAGGACCAGAGGAACTGCTTTGCCGTCTCCAAGTATATTCAGCACCAGTCTCTTCAGTGACGGGAGCAAAACATCATCCCATCAGCAGATGGGGCGTAATCTGTGCTTTGTGAAAGATATCATGAAAAAAACACAGTTCTTAAAGCTTGACTTCAGGGCTTTAAATCCTGGCTGAAATATGCTGTTATAGCTCTGGATGTTACTCTCGATAGAAATGCCCACTCCCTCCCCAAGGGATCAGCAGCTCCATCCCTGCAGTGTCCAAGTGTTGCAGCAAGAGGCACCCGGGCTGTGGAAAGCACTAAGAGGACACAGTGTGGTGGGGAAGAGACAGGGATAGATGATAAAGATGTGTGTGGGTAGATGGACAGATAAACAGGCATCCAAGGGGTCTGCTGGCAATAACCCCCTGGGTGGTGATGTGATGGGTTTGGAGGGTGTGATGATGTAGGCTGAGATACAGACAATTTTCTTCACAGTAGCTCATACGGTGCTGTTGTGGATTTGTGACCAAAACAGCCTTGAGAAAATACTGATGTTTTATTTATTTCTGAGCAGTGCTTACACAGCACAGAGGTCTTTTCTGTTTCTCACCCTGCCCCACCGGCAAGTAGGCTGGAGGTGCACAAGGACTTGGGAAGGGACACAGGCAGGACCCCAACTGACCAAAGGGACATTCCATATGCTACAGCATGGTGCTCAGCAACAAAAACTGGGGGGGAAGGAGGAAAGGCGGGGGGGGGAGTGTTCACTGAACATCTGTGGGGTTAAACCATAACAGAGGGAGATGGATGGATGGATGGATGGAAAGATGGACGGATGGACAGATGGATGGATGGATGGATGGATGGATGGATGGATGGATGGATGGATGGATGGAGAGTGTGAAACAGCTGCAGGAATATGGATAGGAATGCACAGTGATAGATAAGCAAGCCAGCTGTGAACCAAAGCTACCCTGTATCACAAAATCTGAGCGGAAAATGACCCACCCAAAACTGACAAGGCTGACATGGAAGCACATTGACCCTTCAGATGCCCTCACCTCTGTTCGGCCCAAGTCCTCAGGCAGAAGATGCAGAGGGACAGGGAACCACACTCCTGCCTGAGTGTTTCCCACGCAGAGGACGCTGTCTGTTTTTATAATGCCCGTGTGACATCTCAGCAGCAACGACAGTTGCCTGGGACCTGCGGCGAGGGCTGAGGCCATGAAATACACACCAACTACGCAGCCCAGGAAGGTGATGGTACTCCTTTTCGTACCTCGAGATGCCACCACCCTGGGTGGCAACACAAGGGGAAATGCTGCAAGAGCAAACACGAGGATTGGAATTGTTTGGGAAATGCTGGTCAGAGCAGCAATGAAAAAAAAAATAGATTTCACTAGATTTGTTTCTTCCCTTTTAAAACAGATCTGTGAATTTTTTAAGATGTTAAACATTGAACAAAGTCAATTGTTTGCCTCAAGTATTTACGGGGGGTGAAACTGCTGCTCTGCACTTGCCAACTAGATTTGAAGATACGGTAGAGATGAAATGCCCTGGAAGCACTGCTTAGATTTCATCACTGAATTTTGGGTAAAATAGAGTGCATCTTCAGATCTTTGCACCCCTAGAAAAACACCCACTTTCCTGCCAAGCCTTTTAGTGCAAAAGCGATGCCTCACTTTTCTTTCTCTGTATGCCTGAGAAGATGTAAGTTCTTCCACGGCAAAACTTCAGTGAGAGAGGGTTGGGAAAGGGAGGGAGGGAGGAAGGGAGGGAGAGAAGTGCAGTGCCCACAAGCTCAGCGTGTACTGGCATGGGTGGAGGTTGAGCTGACTTTTTGGCCATGCAAAAGCACCCTTACCTACACGTCGTTTTTGAAACAGCACCAGTGGAATCCAAATAAACCCTTTTAAAGGTACAGATGTTTTATTTTTCCCATGTTATGGACAGGGCAACTAAAATAAAGAAGCAAAACAGAAGCAGCTAATGCTGGGGCTAGGGTTTATGGAGTATTTCCTGGAATATTGTCCCAAGGTGACAATGGAAAATGATCCAGCGGTGACTCAAGTACAGACCGTGCCAGACAATGCCTGCATTTCAGCGCCCTGCATTTCAGCCCGTGTATCGGAGCTTGTTATCTGGGATAGACAGAAACATGCAAAGATAGCCAAAACAAATTGTCTGGCCTTGCTTTCCCACTGAAAGGGATTCCTTCTCTCTAGTCTTGTCAAACACTGAAAACTTCGTATACATCAAATAAAAATTATTAATAAAGCAAACAGAAATTTCACAAAAAAACCTGTCCCAAAGCGAAGCACTCCCCTCCATGGAAGGAGGTTCTTCCCTGGAAGAAGATGTAGGACAGAGAGAGGGCAAAGGAGGAGCAAGAGCAGTTTGCCTGATTGTTTGAGACACGACCGGGCAGCACATGGCCAGTATGTGGAGAAAGCGGTAGGAGTGCCGAGTGGGACAGGCTGAGCATATTTGCAAAGGGTCTCCTTCCCAGTAGGTGCTTTCCAGCATTCGCGGCAGCTCTGCGTGCCGCTGCAGAAGTAACGGGAAAGCTTTGGAGCGTGACTCAGGGATTTGCTCCACGTCTGTCCCTGCTGATACAACCCAGAGGACCGCCACAGCCACCCTCTGCCACAAGGCTGCCATGGCCATGGGGGCACATGGCTGAGCACCAAACCGTGGCAGGCTTTGGGCAAGATTAATCATCCCTCTGCAACCC